CGCTCGCCAAGCGGAGAGCCTCGACCTCCCCGGCGGACGAGTCCAGCGCGCCCTGCAGCTCGGCGATGGTGTGTTCGGCGGCTGCGAGGCGGGCGGCTAGGTCGCCGTGGCCCGCGGCCGCCCCGCCGCTGTGCGCTCTCGCGTCCAGCTCCTTCGCCCGCGCCTCGAGCTCAGCGGCCCGCTGATCCAGTGCGGCCCTCTCGGCGCGGGCGCTTTCCAGATTGCGGCGTGCCTGCTCCTCCCGCGCTGCCTCGCGGAGGAACAGGCTGTCCGCCAGCCGCTGCGCCGCGGCCTCGGCCTCCTCGAGAGCTCGCCCCCGCTCGGTGAGCGCGTCCTCGCGGAGGCGGAGTGCGGACTCCTCTTCGGCGCAGGCGGCCTCGTGCGCCGCCAGTGTTGCCTCCCGGGTGGCGACGGCGGCCTCGCGGTCCGCTAGGTCTCTCTCCTTCGCGTCCAGGGCGCGGGCGCGCTCCTCCAGCGCCGTGGCGCGAGCCTCAAGGCCCTCTTCGCGCTGCCGGGACGCCGCCTCGTTCTCCGCCGCCCGCCGTTCCCGGGCAGCGGCGGCGTCAAGGACTCCCCGGGCGGCGTCGAGCTTCTCCTCTAGCTCCGTCGCCCGGCTCCCGTATTGGAGGCGGAGGTCGTCCCGCGCCTCGTCGAGCACGGCGGTGGCGATGAGGGCAGTCTCCCGCTCCTCCTCCACCTCCCTGGCGATCTCCGCCAGGTCCCTACGACGGGCCTCGAGCTGTGAGGCGTGCCGACAGTGTGCCTTGCGGCCCGCCTCCACCATGGCCTCCACCGAGCGCCGCCCCACCTCGACGCACGCCCACGCCGCGTCGAGCTCCGCCCACTCCGCCTGCAGGGCCTCCATCTGGGCACTTAACCCGTCCAGCACCGTGCTGTTCGCGGCGGCCAAGGCCTGCAGGAGGGGCTCCGCGCTCAGTGGGGCAGCGGAAGGCAGAGGGGAGAGCCCCCTCGGTGTGGGTGTCGCGCGGCTCGGCCCGCCGATCGACGTGCCGGACTCGGGGGCGTCCCCCGAAGCTGGCTCGTCCCAAGCGTCGCCCGAGGGGTCGGGCCCGAGCGGCGCGCCCGCGGCCTCGTCGTGGGTGGCCTCGGAAGTCATCGTCGCCTCGGGCGGAGTCGGGTCGGGGGTTTGGCAGGCCGCCTGGCGTGCGCGCGCCGCCTCTGCCTCTCGGACGGACTCCCCGGCCCGGCGGAGTCTGGCCTCCTCCTGAGCGGCCTCCTCAGCCTGGCGAACCCGGACGGCCTCCTGGGCAGCCTCCTCGGCTTCCCGGTGGCGGTCTGCGGCTTCTCGCCGGTCAGCTTCCCGCCTCCGGGCCTCCGCGGTCGCCGTCTCCTCGGCCTCAGACCGGCCGGACTTGGAATGGCGGGGGGGGCGCGACGGGATCTCGCTGAGGCAGAAGAAAAACCAGAAGACAAAAAGAAACGGGTGAGTGAAAACTCGCCTTGGGAGATGGGAGAATGAATACGGCCGCGGTGGGCGCGGGGACGAACCTGCGGGGAGGTCGGCTAAATGACCACCTCGGGGGCGAGATGAGGTTCCCCCGGCATGGCACGATCCCCCCCATCTTGCGGAGCCGTTTCTTCTTTCGCTCCCCCTCGGGCTGCGGCGTCGGCACGGCACCCTCCGGGCGCCTGCTGCTGGCACGCACTGCCCCGCCCCCTCGGGGAGGAGATGGGGGAGGGGTACCCTCCTGGTTCCTCTTCCCCCAGGCGTCGGCAGGGCGGCTGCCCCCGGGCCCCCGTCGCGGGGCCCAGAAGCACGACCCCCTCCCGGGGTAGATTGTTCCCCCCTGCGGCTCCCGCCCGCGCCATCGTGGCCTCGGGGGGCCCGCTCCCCCGACGCCCTGACCGCCTGCATGATGGCCAGGATCTTGGCGCGCTCTGGATCACAGCAGAGGGGGAGGACCCCTTGGGGGATGAGGGATGCCTCCACGGAGCTGAGATTCAGCACCCGTTGGACCACCATCCTGAAGTCCTCAGGGTCCCAGTCCCATTTGCGCCCCTGGTGGGTCCTCATGTAGTCCTCGAGCCCGGTGTACTCCCAGGCGCCCCGGGCGAGCCGCTGAAGCGGCGCGATCCGGCGACGAACGTAGTCGCCGAACACCATGGCCCCCGTGAGCCCCTGGGATCGCAGACCCGCCAGGCGGTCAAGAACGGCGTCGTAGCCGTCTCCCAGATCTACCGCCGCCCGCCAGCTGGAGGCCTGCGCCGGGGGCTGGCTCGGAAGTCGGAGGCGCGCTTCGTCGGCGAGGGGGGTGTAGAACCAATCGCTCTTCCAGTCGTCCCACTTTTTGCGGAGGACGCAGGGAATGTAGCGGTTCAGCACCTGCCCCCGCGGCTGGAAGTAGCAGCCACCGACTGCCGTCGGCGGCGACACCGGCTGTACGGTGAAGAACCACCGGAACAGCCGGAGAGATGGGCGCACCCCGATAAACATCTCGCACAGGTGCGCGAAGATGGCCAACGTCATTATCGCGTTGAGGGTGAGGTGCGCCATCTGGAGATCATAAAACTCCAGAATATCCATGAAAAAAATAGAGAATGGCGGGACCAGCCCCGCCATTGCGAAAGAGAGGAAGAAGACGGACCGCCCCGGGTAGTGTGGCGCCGGGCGTCCCTCGCCCAGCGCAACCACCTCCCGGCCGGTGGCAGATTCCGGCATGAATCGGCGCGGCAGCCCGGCCTGCCTCTCGCTCACGATGCGGGAAGGCGGCAGCACGCTACCGTCGAGCGGTGCGGAGCCCCGTGCCATGACGCCGGCGGAGGAGGAGCTTGAGGGCGAGCGAGTGCGGCAAGGGTAGGGCACAGGAAACGAAGAGTTAGAGCACAAGTGGCGAAGGCAAGGGGAAGAGTGGCGAGAGGAAAGAAACGAATCCCTTCCTCGGCGTCTTTACACCCTTGCCAACGCTATGCCCGGCTCCTCGCTTCCCGTGCCCACTACCTCGCCCCCTCGTTTCTCGCGCCCACGCCTCCACTAACCCCACTCGCCCGTTTGCGGCGCACGCGGCAAATGTGCGGCCGTGGCGGTTGAGATGGGGCAGATTGTGCGCGCATTAACTATGGTCGCCAACCGTGAAAAGCGCCATCATCATGTCTCCAGGCGAAACGAACCGGCTCGTCCCGATTCGCGCGCTGCTCGAGTAATGTAGCGGTCTTAAAGAGGCCGCTCATTATTGTCGGTCGGTTTTCCCTTGCCGATGCGCGCGATTTGCGACCGCTGGGTTTCTGCCCGCCTGTAGGGACCGGCCCCACCTGTCACCGGGCCTAAGGAGTGCCGTCACGCCCGAGCGCTTCCCTCGAGGGGGGCGATCGCCCTGGCGTAACGCCGGGGGCTACTGTCGGTGACATGGGGCCGGGGGTATCGTGACTAGAGGCTTGGGTAGCCGCGGTCACCCACGTGGCCTGACCCCCTCGGGGGGGTCGGGCCCGACGGTGACGTGGCCACCCCTCCCTCTGTCTCCCCGAGGGGTCGGGCCGCTCCCGTTTCGGCCCCGAGGGCTGGGGCGCCCCGACCCCCTGTGGTTTTGGCGCCACGTGTGTGGGTTAGGTGAGCACAGCGGGCTCACCTAACCGCATTTATAGCAGGTTGGACGAGCGCGCCACGCCGCATTTAATGCGGCGCAGCGCACGCTTATCCGGTCCGTGACCGGTCGCAGTGTGTGACCGGTCACAGACCGGTCAGATCGCGGGTTAGGTGGCAACAGGCGGCCTGTCACACGCCTCGCCCCGTCCCGTCGGAATGATGAGAGCTTCCTGGCTCTCGTCCCTAGCCGGAGCCGGCGTGCTAACTCCTGCAGTTGGTATGTTAGTCCCGGTCAGATCCATTCCAGGCTTCAGCGCAAGTATGGCAAGGAAGTCGCTAGCCATTAAATGAAGGTTGAAATGGGCGTCCACCGGGAAAGCAGGCGAGCGGGGCAGGAGGCGTGGGCTCTGCTTGTCAGAGGTCACTTCCGGCTGTAGACTAGCCCTCATTGTAAAAAGCATGTTTCCCTTCTTAGGCAGCTAGAGGCCCATGTGGTGACCCCTGACCAGATAAAAAGGAGGCCCAGGCCTAGGAGAAAGGAGGGGGAGAGAAGGGGGTTGGGACTCTGGGAAAGGGGTTCTAGAGCAAAAACTCTCTCTCGCTCTCCGGCTCTCTGTATTCCTTCACGCACAGATCCACCAGAACACAGGAGTAGGGTGTTACGCTTCTCAGCGGTCCGAACCTGTCTACGTCGCCCGTGTCTTGTGCATTTTCTCTCTCGCTGACGTTCCTCAGATCGAGGGCGAAGAACCTCACTTAGCGCCCCCGGCCGAACCGGCAAAGGGGGGCCTGCGCGGTCTCCCGGTGAGGAGCCCCACGCTCCGTCATATATGATCTTATTAAATTACTTTTTAAGACTAATCTATACATGTAGTCACCATATTTGAAAGACAAATATTTTTAAAATGATTTATAATCAAATATTTTAAAGTTTGGCCTCACCCTTGTCTAAAACGACAAGTATTATCAGCCCGGAGGGAGTATAAAGCCAAATAGAGACCAATTTTTTATCTTTGTTGAACATTTTTAATTTTTAAATAAACCATTCCAAAACTTATTTTTAAAATCTAAACTTTTTGGCTACCCGCCATCCCGTCTGGTGTGGCAAAACAATATTGACATGCCACACATAGTGGGTGTAGCTGTTTTATCCTGCCACCCCAGCCAAGGTAGCGTGGCCAAACAATGTTGTCACGTCAGGTAGACCGGCATGACAATGTTGTTTTATCACATCAATCTGGCTAGCGTGGTCAAAAATTTTAGATCTTAGAAACAAATTTCCAATTGGTTTATTTTTAAAATTTTAAAATAAAAAGGCTCTATATATATATATATATATATATATATATATATATATATATATATATATATATATATATATATATAATCATAGAGACCCCCCACACAAAAAAAGAAAGGAAAGAAAAGAAAAACAAGCCAATGAAATGAAAATAGTTACCTTTAGGACCAAAGGGCAGGTTGTGTCAACTATGTGCACGTTCTTCCTGTTTAGCGTGACCATCTCATCCACTGTAAATCCAAACGCTGGAAAAATGACCACATCGCCATCTTCAACAACACTCAAATCTTTTACACCGGAAACAACCGGGATGATTTTGATTCCCATCTCATCCAATCTCTGCAAATCCAAACTAACGAGGTAGTAATTGTACATCTCTTGTTAATCACCTTACACACACATAAGATCGAATGAAGCAAAGAGGGACCGGGCAAAGTCTAAAGAAGGACTTCATGAGAAAAAGCACAAGCACTCGTCAAAGAAAAAATTATCTTCGTACACTAATTCTAAACCAAGTGGTAAAGACAACTTGCACCTAGATCTCAACATCTATCCAAAAACCACAATCAATCAATCTAAGCATGAATTAACTTGTTCGTTAGCTAGATGAATCGACTGCATGCAGCTAGTAAATCCAACATATACAAAATTAATTGTATCCTGCTCAAGTTTGATCAATTAATCAAGCTGAAATTCTGTAGCTAGGTTGTTGTACCTCGCTGACGGTTGGGTTGTGGATGATCTGGTTAGTGAGCCACAGCCGCCGGTCGGGAAACTTGACGCGCGCGTCGTACGCGAGGCGCACGGCGTTGTCGACGCCGAGGCAGAAGCCGTGCGCCTCGGCCAGGATCAGCCTCACCAACCCGTCCATGGTCACGTACTCTCCCCCGTTCCTCTCCATCTCGCTGATCAGCTCGCCTTCACGCAATATGCATCGATAGCATCAAACGCCAATTGATCGATGACGAACTCGATTGTTTTGTTTGTTTGATCTACAAATTGATCAGTTTAATTTGTGAGGCAGTATGGGTATAATAGCTTGAGTCCTGCTCCGGTGCTTTCTACTTGGAGTAGAAAGCAATCTGAGCAGTTCATCATATTTAATTGTAGGGTTGTGATTTATTTCTACTCCCACCAGAGTTAGTGGTAGTAGAAATGTGCAAGGGTATATTCGTTCAGGGATAATAATTCGTGCAGGGGTATTATCATAATTTATCAATATCTAACTCATCTTCGGCGACGCCACCGCCGTCTTCCAGCACTGCGACATCGTCGCACGCTTCCCCCTCCGCGGCCAGCAGAACACCATCACCGCCCAGTCCCGCGCCACAGGCTTCTCGTTCCAGGACTGCAGCATCTACGCTGACACCGACCTCCTCCGCGGTGCCCCCGCCGGCAGCAGCGTGGAGACCTACCTCGGCCGGCCGTGGCATCCGATCCCGAGCAGCTCGCCATTCTCCGACACAGTGGAAAACTAATGGCTGATTCCTTCGACACTATGGCAAGAACTTGCCATGGAGCTCAAGAACGCCCTCTCAACCTCTTCAGAGGCATCTCTGCTAATCAAGCACATGACGTACTCTATCACTGATGCATCGCACGTCAACGTGATCCTGCCATCATCGCCGGCGAAGCCAAATTCCTCTTGAGACATGGCGAGGAGCTCGCCGAAAACCACCGTGCAAAGGTACACCAATGGCACCCTCGAACCGTGCCCCGTCGGTGGTGTACACCGCGCTGTGGCCCTTGCCGGCGAGAGACGACGACACCATGCTGCAGCAATCGCCTGTTGTGCCTGCCGTGCCCATCCACCGAACCTGATGTGATGCGAACCGAACAAAACATCCCATGCCAAAATTACCCCTAAACTATATTAGGAGATTACTTACCTGCCCTTTTAAATAAACGGTCGAGATTAATTCTACTTGTAGTAGAATACTGCAAGTAGAGTGCACCGGAGCATCACCCTAATAGCTTACTGGTGTACTCGAGGTTTATGGCGCCGAGGATCTCGTGGCCGAAGCTCTTGCGGTTGTAGTTGCCTTGGCGGATCATTCTGCGGCGGTACTCGTGCTTGTCGAAGTTGCCGGGGTCGTCGTCGGGCGCCGGCGGTGAGCTGCTCCCACCTCCCCCGGCGCTGGAGACGACGACGACGTGGCGGCGAGGAGTACCGCGGCGGCGTTGCGCTAGGTGGTTCAACGATAACGAGGTGGTGGTCGCCGGCGGCTGCGGGAGAGGAGGCAAAACGAGGGGGAGGTGGTGGCCGGGGCGCGCGAAGGCCGCCATCGATCTGCCGCTTTGCCGACGAGCTGATGCCTAGTGGAAATGGACGCGCTGAGTGGGGTGCTATGTCGTCAAAGAATCAGCATTTAAAAACAACCGAGAAGCTAAGCTTTTTCTTCGTCCTCTGCTCGTTGGAGGGTGAGGTCAGCGTATCTCTTCACTTGACTCGATCGTGCCAGGATTTCGATCTCCTCTTTTTTCTCCAGATCTCCTCGATCGATCCCTCCGTGCTAAGCAAACCGGCTAGCTAGCGAACAGTAGTCCACATCGATCGTCGCGCACAGGGACGGGATTTCGCGAGGATTTGTGATGTGCCGGTCGCCGCATTCGCGCGCGAGCTCTGGCGCGCGGTGCTTTCCAGCCATGTACCGGAACCGGAAGGCCCCTACCATGTTGGGCCAGGAGCATCGACGCGGAGTCCGGGCTGGGATTTTCAACTACGGAGCCCAGCGCGATTTCAGCGATTTTTGGGCCTGCTGTGTTTAGATTCGGCCACAAAAGAGCCGTTTTCTTATGTTTCTGTTTGAGTGATTCTGTGAATAAGCCCGCTTTGACTTCCTCGTATCTCTCTATCGTAATACCGGATATTTACACTCTCCAACTATTAAAACCGATATAATAGTTTTATAAATAAAATCCATATTTTTGAGATAGAGGTACCATATTAGCTTATAGTAATGAATACAAGGGGTTTGCTATTCATAAGACAACTAAAATCTCCCTAGATATTAGTCATTTCTATACTGTCATGATCGTTCCAAGATTCATTCAACAGATATAACCCAATCCTTCTGATCCTAAATCGGCCATACCGCCACCCAAGACATGAACCCGCGATCTCCATGGCGATGTTGCGCTTCTCTCTGTTCGACGTTGCTGCTGAGACTTGCCGGTCAAGCCTCTCCCTCCTCCTCTGCTGCCGCTACCCCACCATCGTCGCACCTTTTCATCAACCTTAGCACAACTCCTTCACCATGCTGGATACGTTACCACTGTCCTTCTCTACCCACCGCTTGTCTTCCATCATCATGGTCATCCCTCTAAAACCGTCCTCACCACCTTCTCTACCCCCTTTACGGCCTTCAACCCCAAAATGCTAATTCGAATATTCTCCGCTATATCGAGTCACTACAAGAGGTGTGTGGCTTTTTGACATTTTATTGTGTCATAATATGTGAAATTTATGTCAAAATTTACGATTTGTGACAAATAGTTGACGTAATTTCAAACGTCAAAAAGCCACCGTCACAAATTTAGTATGTGACGTTTGTACATCTATTGTCACAAGCATATGACATTGCTTTATTGTCACAAAATCCTGGGGCTTGCCACGTGGCAGCTAACTTGGCATTTGACATGGTTGAAAAAAAAAACATCACAAAATAAGATTCAGCTTGCTAAAGCCCATGTAGCTCATGGGCCACAAATATATTTTTTCTGGGGTTGTTTCTAGCTGGCCCAGCATATTATTTGCTTCTTTTTAATGAGTGCAGCCTGTACAAATTTTCAGCCCACACCAATTCAGCCCGCACAATTCAGCCCATATGATTTTTCCAGCCCCTACAATTTAGCCCATATATTTTTCAGCCCATATAATTTTTTCAGCCCACACAACTCAACTGATTTTTTCAGCCCATACAATTCAGCCCAGATACAATATTTCCGCACATACAAAATCAGATTCAAATGAATTAACATTCCACAAATGATTGCAATGTCATATGCATTTCACATTCCACAAGTCTGAAAATGCAATATCAGTATATCCATCCACTAATTCAATACATATCCAAAGTCTCAAATTTCATCTTCCTCCTACATCGAGAGCAACAGCAGCACATCTGCAATAGCTTCACAGCAGCAGCATCGCAATGACCAAAAGCACAATAGCAACAGCACAACGGCCAGAAGCACAACAGCACCAAAATAACATCTCACAATCACAATGGTCGCAAGTTCAGTGTCACCAAAATATCATCTGGAACCTAATTGAGTATGAGAGCTTACTGCTGAGCATCTGATGATGCAAACTTGCTGCCAATCAAGGAGCGAACGAAGCTTTGGATTTCACTTCCTTGCTGCCTCAGCTTCTCAGTTTCTTCTTCATTCTTCCTTGCTGCCTCTTTCTGGTCATCTAATTGTTTCACCATTTAGCAAGCCGAAAATTGCACGGATATTCTGCAAAGCATCATATTGCAATGAAATATTCCTTAAGGAAGTAATAAAATAAGTTTTTTACAAGTTGTTGTAGTCAGACTTTAAAGCTGATTTGGCTATTTCATTCATAACATTGCAACCAACCTATAGGGATAAGCATTGTTAATTCTTGTGAACGATAAGCGAAATGGATTCTGCATACAAACCAAAAATTTATGATTGATGGTTGTCTCCATATGCACAAAAGATTACTACACTTCTGGAAATAGCTTAATCCATCCACAAACAAAACAGAGCATTTGATATTCTATTTCTCTGACATGTGCATGCCAGCTAAATGATCACTACTACAAAGCAAAATAATCGGAACCCAGGTCAGGAAAAGTGAAGTCAGAAATCTGAAGTGCATAATCGAAATTTATGTGAGCAAGTAAAATTCTGAACAAAACCATATTTTTACACTTGGGACTATAATGTTTAAACCTACAAATTGTACACTCACAGAGTCAAAGTTGATCAATCCTATAGTTAATTTAGATTTAGCAAAAACATATAATCTGACACCAACAAGAAGTGATACTACTACAGTACTCAATCACTTAGTCATGTGCTGGAGGGAACAAACTAATGTAAATTATCACATATATTACTTTCATCCACTGCAGCTGGCAGCTCTTCCCGCATAGGAGCAACCGCACACCAACAACATCCAGCCACATCCATCTCATCAGCACTGCATGCATGCAAAATCCCCAAGAACCAATTTTGTGACCAGACCCTCCCTCCAAGATGCAACCAACAGTGCCACCAAGGCAAATCCGGATTAAGCAGTAGAAAAATACCTCGAACAGCAGGGAGGACGCTGCTCATCGGCACTGGGGCGGCGCCATGGAGGAGGTTGCTCGCCTCGCCTATCACCTGCTCCCTACACCCCGTGTGCTACAGTGGGTGGGTGCGCGGCTGTGAGCGGAGAAGGGCAAGGTGGTGGCCATTAGTACGAGCTCACCAGCATGGGGTGGCCGATGAGGCTGTTCAGCACGGCCATCTTGCCCGCCCCCTGCATGAGCAGATCAGAACTGGATCAGATCGGGCGAGCACACGAGAGAGCGAGCGGGCGGATCGCGGTGGCGGTGGCCTATACTTACGACGTTGCCGAGCGCGACGGCATTGACGAAGGTGGAGAGGCGGCGTGGGGTGGAGTCGTCACAGGGGTCGTCGTCGGCCAGCAGCGACGCCACCTGGCGCATCGACTCCGACAGCTGCGTGAGCTCCTCGACGGCCTCCATCGTCGCCGGTGTACTCGCGTCCCACACCCTCTCCCCGCGCCGGATCTCGACGGATCGGGGGCTCCCGCCGCTGCCGCGATGCTCCCCACCCATTGAGCTACCCAAACTCTTCACGTTCGGCAATTTCTCCGACGCAGTCCATGGGAAAGAGGAAACGACATGTGGGGAGGAAGCGGACTGGATGAGGCGAAGCAGAAAGTGGAGGCGGTGAGGACAGAAGAAGATGAGGGATTGAGCGGACTGCCGCGCCGCTCCCGCCGCCCGCCGTGGCCGCTCCCGGCCCCTCCCAAGCGCGCCGCCGCTGGATCTGGGAAGAGGAGGGCGCCGGCCGTCGAGCCCGCCGCCGTGGCCGCTGCAGACGTCGACCGGCCCCTCCCGAGCGCGCCGCGCCGCTCCCGCCCTCGCCGTCGTCAGTGTGAGAGAGAGAGAGAGAGAGAGGAGAGGAGAGAGAGCGGGAGACTGAGAGGAGAGGAGAGGTGAGGACTGAGGAGAAGAAGATAAGGTTGGTGAAAATCTTGAAGTGGGGAGGAGGGAGAGGAAGCAAATCAGACTTCTATGCAAAACATAATTTCGAATCGAATTTTATGATACTAAATGAACTTATGTGAAAAAGTTGTCAAAAACAAAAGTTGTAGAACTCATTGAGATCTACCAATTTTCTTTTGGTCATTTCTCTATCCGAGTTTGATTGAACTATATAAAATTTGAATTTTAAAATATAAGAAATTCAAATAATTTTTCGGGTAGTAAATGATTTCAAATGGGAAAGTTGTCAACACCAAAGTTGTATAACTTATCAAGATCTACAACTTTTGTTTTGGTCATTTTTCTATATGACTTTGTTTGAACAATTTTGAATTTGAATTTTAAATTATGACAACTTCAAACAACATTTACAAGTACTAAATGATTTCAACTGAAAAAGTCATCAATAACAAAGTGGCATAACTCATCAAGATCTATAACTTTTATTTGGTTTATTTCTTCCTTCAACAATGTGATTTGTAACATTATTCACAAAATGTACATATCTCTTATATAGTTTATAAGCTATAAGGGAGATATGTAAATTTTGTGAACAATGTTACTATCACTTTATCGGATGAAGAAATGACAAAAATAAAAGTTATAGATTTTGATGATTTATACAACTTTGTTGTTGATGACTTTTTCATTTGAAATCATTTATTACTTGAAAATGTTGTTTCAAGTTGTCATATTTTGAAATTCAAATTCAAATTGTTGAAACAAAGTCATGTAGCAAAATAACCAAAACAAAAGCCGTAGATATTGATGAGTTATGCAACTTTGATGTTGATGATGTTCTCAGTTTAAATCATTTAGTACTTGAAAATGTTGTTTGAAGTTGTCATAATTTGAAATTCAAATTTAAATTATTAAAACAAAGTCATTTTGCAAAATGACCAAAACAAAAGTTGTAGATCTTGATAAGTTATACAACTTTGTTGTTGACAATTTTTTCATTTGAAATCATTTACTAACTGAAAAATTATTTGAATGGAGAGGAGGGACGCAAAATGGACTTTTTGCCGAGGGAGGAGCGAAAGGGTTAGGCCAGCGGCCCAAAAAAGAGGAGGGGAAGGGGAAGCTGGCCCAAGGAGGGAAAGAGAAGCGGGCAGAGGGAGGGAGAGAGTAATACTTGGGCCGAAAAAGGCCCAAGGACAAAGAGAGTGATTTTAATTTGTTTTCTATTTATTTTAATAGGTTAAATGAACTTTGTGGTATTAAAATTAGTTATTGAGCTCTTAAAATTTACGAAAAATTTTAGAGAATAATTTAGACCACGTAGAATATTACAAAAATATTTTCGGCAAAACTGCACTCAACGAGGAGGAGCACCACGGTGCTCCGGTGACGCTCCCGATGATGACGGAGCCGCACAGCGGCGGTGGAGGCGGAGATTGGAGTCGCGAGGACTGCGGTATGGGGAGTCGCGAGGACTGCGGTATGGGCTCAAGTGGGAAGGTTGGTGGCCTGTTCGGTTAGTTTCTTTAGAGGATATAAACGTGATATATAAAATAATATGCAACATCTAAGAAACACATCATGTGTAGCTCAGTGGTTTGCACATTGCCCCTGAAACAGAAGGTTGTGGGTTCAATTTCCAACGCCAATATTTTTTTAAGAAATTTTGCTGAGTCAAGCCGAGCCAGCAATTTTGCTGAGTTAGGCTGTTGGGCTAGCATCAGGTTGGTCCATCTGTGGGTGCAGCCTGTTTAGGCTTTTATAGGTGGCCTAATTAGAGCCCAAAAAACAAATTATTAAAAGAAATAATTAAAAAAAATCTGATGTGGCAATAAGGCTTGCCTACATGGACAAAAATATTTAAAATAATACAATAAATAATTTGTGACACACAAATAGGTCTATGACATAGCAAATATTGTCACTGGATGACATTAGACTAGCTCTATGACATTTATTGTGACACACAACTTTTTATTGTCATTAAGTTGAAATGCCTGAAATAAAATATCATAAATTAGATGATATAGTGATATTATGGTCTGTGTCATATTAAATACGTCAAAAAGCCACACATATCTTGTAGTGAGTTCGGGTCGCCGTCACCTGTCAGTCCACCTTCTCCTTTCCTCTCCTCTAATACTGCCTCCCGTCTATAAGTGGAAGACGAGGGCTAGGTGACTGAAATATTCTTCACCGTCACCTGATGAACAGCAAATGTGTGAACACGGATATTATTCTATCCTCCACAAATTAGGTTACCCCCTGAGGCCGTGTTTAGTTGTTTTGGCAAAAAAAAAATTAACGTATACGGATACACATTTGAAGTATTAAAGGTAGACTAATAATAAAATAAATTACAGATTCCGCCTATAAACTGCGAGACGAATCTATTAAGCCTAATTAATCCGTCATTAGCAAATATTTATTGTAGCACCACATTATTAAATCATGGCGTAATTAGGCTCAAAAGATTCGTCTCACAATTTACATGCGAATTGTGCAATTGGTTTTTTTTTTCATATTTAATGCTCCATACATGTATACAAATATTTGATGTAACGAAAAAGTTAGAAGTTTGAAGGGAACTAAACACAGCCTGAGTTCACAAACTAAGGAATCAGTTAGAGCTATAGGTCGCCACTGCTGCTAGATACCATGACCAGCACCATGCATATACACATGCATGAAAACGATAATTCGGCCGGCTCTTCCTCCCTCCTTTCGTCTGTCTCACTCTCTCGCCATATCACACATTCCAGTAGCAAATCAACATCCGCACACATTCCACTACAGAGCAGTGGAGTGGAGTACCACTACTACGTCAAGGAACAGAACAAGTGAACTGCATGCAGAAGCAGCAGAGCCATGAGCCCATGAATGAGACAGCTGCTATATCAAAATCCATCCGACCCACGCATCCAAACAAACCAACCCAAGGCAGGCACCAGTATATACTATGGCAGCGTTTAGTTCCCTTTAAATTTCTAAAAATTTCACCACATCAAATGTTTGGACATATACATTGAGCATTAAATATGGAACAAAAAATCAATTGTACAGTTTGGATGTAAATTACTAGACGAATCTTTTGAGCCTAATTACACTATGATTTGACAATACGATGCTAGGATTAATTATGCTTAATAAATTCGTCTCGTAGTTTACAGACGAAATTTTTTTATTAGTCTATGTTTAATACTTCAAATATATGTCTGTATATTTTTAAAAATATTTGGCACACGAACTAAACACGGCCTATATACGTATACTCTCAGCCCCGCGCGCAAGTGGTCGCCGTCGCAGAGATCATCTGCCCATTGACAGATTGACAGCTCGATCGCCGCCCTCGGAAGCCGCGCATTCCCTTCGCCCCAGCTGCTAGCCGATCGAACAGCATTTCAGCACGCGACATTGCAGAGCGCGAGGCAGTGGCCGGCAGACGCGCAGAGCGCCTCGGATCGATCAACCGCGACGCTTTATTTCAAAAATAAAACTTCCCATATGCATCGCAGCGCGGCAGAGGCCGTCGTCGCAGCAAACCGATCGATCGATCGGTAGATCTTGGGTTGGCTGCGAGCCTGGACAAGGAGAGCCCGGGGGCCTCTCTCTGGTGGCGCAGCGCAGTAGTACGTACGTATACGCGCCCTGCTGCTGCTGCTGCTGCGTGAGTCCATGGATTGGTCGCTTTTGCCAGGGCTACAAATCGTAGCGGCGAACAGATTCTCTGTGGCTGCTGATGGCAGTCTGTTTTTGGAATCGGCAGCGGGTGCAGAACAATCACGCTATGTGTGGTGTATGTGCCCTCTTCCTCGGAAACCGTTCACTCCCAGACGATCGAGTTGGCATCAGATCCGTTTATTATTGCATCGTGATTGACAAAATGACAAGGAGCTCCAGCATCCACCAGTGTCCCGGTGACCACATATAGAAATGGATCGATGAACATACTACATTCTTCCAAGTGACCGATTCCGATCCCCTTAATTATTTTCCACTCTTTTCTGACTACCAGATCAACGTAGTATAAATAGAACAATTCCTATGTTCCAATTCCTACATTGTACTGTAACTCAAGAAATTGTACTAGACTAGTAGTAGTAGTAGTACTTGGTGAACAAAAAAAATTCTAGCGGCTAGGGGGAAATGGGTTTTCGACTTATCAAGAGAAGAAGCATACAAACACCATGATTATACCTTAGGCCCTGTTTAGTTGGAGACAAAAAAATTTTTGGACACGAATGAAAAAACTAATTTATAACTCGCCTGGAAAACCGCGAGACGAATCTTTTGAGCCTAATTAAGCCGACATTAGCACATTGGGTTACCGTAGCATTTATGGCTAATTATGGACTAATTAAGCTCAAAAGATTCGTCTCACGATTTCCATATAAACTGTGCAATTAATTTTTGTTTTTATCTATATTTAATGCTCCATGCATGTGTCAAAGATTTGATGTGATGTTTTTGGAAAAAAAATTTGGGAACTAAACTAAGCCTTACTCTCCGTCGTTCCAAAATAGGAGTATAAGGATTTCTAGTATTCAAATTTTCTACCACAGTATAAATATTTCTGTACTAATTCTAATGATTACCATCATTTAATGATTTCACAACCAATCAGATGATTGGAAAGTACAATCTAGCCAATTTAAAATTTAAAAATTGACAACTAAAGTAAAAAAAAACATTTTTTGACATAATCTTAGTATTTGCTTACATTACCTCCGTCCGAAAATAATTATATTTCTAGAAAATTCCAAATATATGTTAGTAGTACACACAAATATCCACAACAATCCTACATGCATAGAATAAAATGAAGGTTAAGGTAGATGGGGAATGGAAAGATGGGAACGCAGAAGGCGTGATATCTCGATCTAACTAACTAGATAGATTTCATCTTATTACAAATAAACCTTTTTAGGACAAAATTTAAATGGTAGAAATATAATTATTATTTGAACGGATGTAGTATTTTAGAATAGATAGAG